CGTACCGATCCCGATCCCGACATATCGGTTCGGTATGGTTCGGGATGGTTCGGTATCGGTTTCGGTACAAATCGGGATGAATATACATACCTACTTTACACCTTAAAGTTTAACAATGTCCCTTTATTTTTGAAAATTAAAAGTGAATTTAAATAAAAAAACGTGAAAAATTAAAAAAAATGAATATTTAAATGCAAGGGATGCATATCAAAACATAGTTTATATTTCACAAACTAAAAAAATGAACGACAACAAAGGGTTTTTCGAATCTTTGTGAATACTTTTATGTTTATACACAAAAACTAAAACTCAAATAAAAGTATAACCTACACATGATAAAACTTCAACCATTTTTTTTTAAAAAATTACTCCGTATTATTTAGTGAAGGAATATGAAAAATATTACTACGGGTTATTATTTTTTATAATATTTTAGTATATATGTTCGGTTCGGGATTTTCGGTATGGTACGTCACCTCGTACCGTTCCCAAATACCGTACCGACCATTCGGTTCGGTACGGTTCGGTTTCTTCTCGGTACTTTTTCGGTTCGGTATTCTCGGTTTTTTCGGGAAATTTCGGTATCGGTTCGGTACTTGCTCACCCCTAATATCAACCATCCTACGTACATATATCAATTAACATTTTCATTTGATTTTTATACTCTGGCCGGCTTGGCTTCCACATTGACGTTTGTGTTTTTTAAAATGTCTTCAAATAAAGTTAATTCACTTTTTTTTATTTTATCATTAAAGAAACATAATTTTGACTAACAACTTTTTTCACTTTTAAATTAATCTTAATTACGTTTTTTGTTTTATAACACGTGAGGTTAAACTAGATATAGATTTCATTTTGGGAGAGATGAAATATCTCAGTTCTTTTTACAACACAAAGTATGATACATATACCATACATCCGAATATACAATGTTTTTTATACATCTGTATAAATACTATTTTCAAGTAATTGAATATTCATTGTCGACTAACATCAGAATACTCATTTTCCAGCATAACTAAATTTTAGAAAACAAGTCTTCAGTTACTCGAAAACGAGTATTTAATTACTCATAAATGAGTACTCGCCGCGGATGTACAGAAAATATCGTAGAACCAATTATACACTATATATTGCGTACCTGTAGCACTCTGAAAAATAGGCCTATCAGAATTAATTACTCTTTTCGTCCCTGAGTATTTGTCCATTTTTACTTTTTTGGTAAAAATTGATAAACTTTGACCTCAAATTAAATAAAAATGATACTCCCTCCGTTTCTTAAAACGATTCTTGTTTTGACTTTGGGGCAAAATAAGGAAAGTGTAATTTTAGTTGACTTTCCAATTTTGCCTCTGATGTGATAAGTAAAATTAAGATGTGATAGTTTAGTTATTACTAAAAAAGTATGATGTGATAGGTAGCGTATGAAAAAGTAAGAGTAAAAGTGGTTTTTTAATAGAAGAAAGAAGTGTTTTAAGGAAAAACAAAAAATGAAAGAGGAAGAGTTTTAAGAAACGGAAGAAGTATTAGATATTGATACAAAAATAGTTTTATTAGATTTATTTTATCAAATATTTTCAAAGTATTATTCTATCATATTAATATACAATATATATTTTACTACATATTTAATTATAGGTCAAAGGTTGAAAACAGTTGACTGAAAAAGTCAAAAGTGGAAAAATGGTCAGAGACGGAGGTAGTAATTAATAATTAATTAATTACTGAGATGGACCTAACAATAAGTGATTTATAAAGTTTGTCAATTAATGTTAAAAATTATACCGTTGTGTATTAGAGTTTGACTATCTGATCTGATTGCAACAATGCAATCAGATTTCAATTTGAAGAAAGTTGGACCAAAAAGTATATCCCGATTATGACCATTTTAGGCGCAGTCAGGGAGAGACGTATAATATCGGACTGAATCGCCTCCTACTCCACTAGCGCCGTTGGCAGCCACCATGACTTTGAGAGCTTGAGGTCGGCGGAGATAGTCATAATCTTTCGCTGAAAGTTTCACTGGGAAATTCCCAAAAGCTCCATTTAAGCTTGAGCTGAGCCTTTAGAGATATCTAGTGATTATAATATTCATATAGATCGCTTTTGCGTTTCATAAACGGTCATTTGGTTCAGTTTTATGTTAGACATATTTGATGAATCAAGAATCATAAACATTAAAATTATTGTTAAAACTTCGAACTGATGATATAAAAATGATACGGAGTATATGAATATAATGTTGGAGAACACTTCTATATGGTTTAATTGAAGTTTAGTGGCTTAAAATGGTATTTTCGAAAATTAGACCGAGGTTGAAGATGACTAGTTGCAGAATGATCAATCGCCGTATGAAGACGACTACTTGGAGACCCTTCCTTCCCTCCCTCGTCCACACCCGCCAAGCATCTCACCCCCATCCCCTATCCCCACCCATCATCTTTTTCACTCGCCACCCACCCTTAAAACCCATCCAACCAGCCCTGGTCCGGCACCCCATCCACCATGCATCGCCCCTATGCTTTATGCTACTAAAATAATACTAGAGTATTAAATTGTCTCAAAGTCTTTTTCAATATTAATTTTTAAATATAAATTAAGAAACTATTTTTCTTCCTGTCAAATAACAAAAAATATGATTGGAAAATAATTTTTCTTGGAATCATTTCCTTTAGAAAATATTCTTTCAAGAAAATATTTTCACCTAAATTAAGCACGTACACCTTAAATATCACAAAAATGATTAAAATGATACTACACGACACTAAAGGCGCTATTCCCGGAAAAATATCATTAAAATTCATTAGGGCCTGTATGAAAATAGCGTTACAGATTAGTGTTAGCGTTTTGAAAAAGGCTATCTACGGGCAGCGTTTAATGTTAGTCTTTTCAAAGTTAATTTGCACCGTTAAAATTTTATCTAAATAACTAACGTTAATCGAAAACGCTATTCCCAAACGATCCTTAGTAAAAGTAACATTTAGCCCCTGGATAGCAATAACATAAGCATTCTGAAAATGTTTTCTAAAGGTAGCCTTTAACATTGAAGTTGTTAAATTTTGAATCTATACTATTAAAATTTTATCTAAAGCACTTGTAGACTCTATTTCTGAATAAGGCCTTAGTCTAATTGTAAACTCCAATGATGAGCCTCAATAAAACTATGTATACGGATGAGAGTATATGATAGAATAATTAAAGATTTGAGGAACAATAACAAATGTTTAAAAAATGGCATTGATTTGATATCGAAATTATTGTCCTTTAACTATCTAGGACATGCTCTATCAAGTCATTACATTTATTTACATTCTTTCATTTGAAACCCACTATACCATATTACCATGAGTGATTTTTATCTACCTTGTTGTACTCCCTGTTTACAAAAGTTATACTCCTTCTGTCCCAAAAAGTTCGACACGTTTCGAAAAAACTGTGTCTCATAAAGTTCATAACATTTCTATTAAAAGATCACTTTTACCCCTTACTTTTTTAACCCTATCTGTCACATCATACCTTTTTCCTAATATTATACACATCACATCAAGGGTATTTTTGGAAAGTAAACACCAAAATATCTCTCCCTTAATTTTCCAAAAAGTCAATATGTATCAATTTTTTTTCTCACTTTTTTGGAAAGTAAACACCAAAACATCAAGGGTATTTTTGGAAAGTAAACACCAAAATCTACGAAAAACAATCAATGTGGCTCGCACTTTTTCTTCACTTTTTTAAATTACACATTAATATTCTCCAAATTCCGGTTTATTTTGATTTTTTTGTCAAACTTCACTATTCTCTTACTTTAAATTATGAAATAAGCATCTTTAGTTCAAATTTAATTTAGTATAATTAGTTTAGTTTTAAGATATAGTTGTGATATATCAGATTTTTATATAAAATATTTATTTATTTAAAATTTTTTTTAATTTATTTTAAAAGAATAACAAAGTTTGATTAAAAAAATCAAAATGGACTTTTAGTTTTCAATAAAAAAAATTTTAAAAAAATTTTGACCAGTGAAATTGTAAACATCAATTTGGCACGAAATGACTAATTAATTTCGATTGTAAATAAACGATATGATGTACATATTGTCAAAAAAATAAATGATGATGTACTAGCAACTTTATGTTCAATTATATGGAGAGACCAAGAAAATCCAAATCTAAAGTGATACTATGGTTTATCCTTTTTGTTTTCCCAAGCTGCATTGACATGATATTTTGTCTATGTCAAGCAAACGCGTAAACTGAAAAAACAAAAAAGTAGCGTCCATTCAAAGACCTACCAGAAAGAAAACTGCAAATAATACAACAAGTCAAAAAAATAAAAAAAAAACAAATAGAGAAAATACGAGGTAGCAACCCTCGGACCGCCTGCAAAGAATAAGGAGGATTGAATCATTAACACTCTAATTAGCTACTACTAGTTCAATACACTGCACACAATCACATGCCAATGCCTATACACTCATCACATCATCAGATGATATTATCCTTAGCTTGACAAAATTTGGAATGAGATAAAAGATTATTGAACTGAGTTATAAGAAGATATTTGGCTTAAACAACATCAAAGGATTGAATTTATTTTGGATGTTATCAGTCGACCTTTAGTGAATGGACTCCCCTCATGAAGTGAAAGGATCAAGATTTAGCATCATTATCTAAATTAGGACCACGAATCGCTGGCTAATGACTTTCAGATGAATAATCGAGTTATCTAAAACTTATTTTGCTACCACGATGAAAATTGGGAAGAGCTAGGGATCACTAGAGGGAGTCATATAAGACATTCTAAATTCTAAAGCACATGAAAATATTACATTAATTTTGTTAATCGATTACTTAATTCCACTTCAAATTTTATATATCTGTAATTTTTTCTTTAACTTCTAATGTGGGGATACTTTTAACATTCGTTATTACACTACTTGACATTTTACAATAGACAAGTTGTCACATTATTAACAAAAATATGTAAAGAAAGAGCAATATTCATGCTAGGTGTACACCAAAGGATTGCGCTATAATACTTTAATTTGATAGCTCACACTGAGATAAATTATTACTGTAATATTTTGTGATTGTACTGACATATTGTGCCAATGTAAGCCATCAAAATACTGATGCCCATGTCGTTTCTTGGGTACAATTTAGTAAATAGCAAATGGAGTGGAAGAAGCATTATTGTAAGGGAAACCATTATAACTCGAAAATAATGTTTTCTAACATTAGTTTGGAAGGGAGGGGATATCATTTTAAATTAGTTTACATTATTCCAACCTTAATTATACAATGACACAAACCCACAAATATATCTTGAAATTTTTTCTGAATATATACTATCATTTCATATAATTTCACATTTCCACGCAATTGCACAAACCCTCACCTCCTAGTTAATAATGACCGTCGAATAGGGTCTTGAAGGGTCTTCGGAGATGGGTTCATCCTTTTTCTATAACAACAATTTCAAATTGTTCAAACAAATGACTTCTGTTTTTAGTAGAATAACGATCTCCTTTTATTCTATCTATCATTGTGCCCTTCAAGGAAAAGGGGAAGTTGTTTAGTAAAAATTTAATATGGAGATGATTGAACCAACATAGGGAGTATGTCACAAAATCACTTTTGATGGGAAATGAGTGCAATTTTACAAATACTGATTTGGAATTGAGTGATGGTATATGAGGGTTATATATATATTGAAGAAAGAGGTCCCCATCAAGCCGTGCATTAAACTCAACTAACATAATTCCAACAAGAATCAGAGTAGGAGCTGAGAGAACAATAATGTTTGGTTAACCAAACTAACCATATATAGTAATTAATGATTATCACTGCAAAATTTATCATACTTGAATTTCCAATAAAACTAACAACAACCCAATGGTCCTTCTCTAGCTTCATTATTCATCACACAAATGATTTTGGGAGAGCACTTTATAACCCTTTTTCCCTTAATTTTCTAACTCCAACAATCATTAATAGATGAGCTAAGATGTCAAAAAAAAAGATTTGTACTTCAACTTTTAATCATAAAAGCCCCAAAGGAAATTAACAAAGGTTATATTATGCTTGAATTGGCTCGATCTCCAATGGATGGGAAAACATCTCTCTTCACCCTTCTTTTCCATTTTCTACCCTCTTATTAGCATTATGTTACAAACATGCTAGGGTCTCGGCGGCGGTGGCGGTGGAAAGAATTGGGTTCCGGCCATCATAGCGGTGAGGGGAGAGGGATACAATGAGGGGTCAAGCAACGTGACCGGCGGTTGATGATGTGTGGTGGTGGCCGTGGAAGGGATGAGATTGAGAGGTTGCTGGTGGTGGTGGTGGTGGTGGTGTTGAGATGCTCCTCCCCGAGACGCCAGGGCTGACGAGCTCTCACCACCACCAGTGGCACTGCCACCAATGGAGTTGTACCGGGTCTCTAGACCTTGGTCATAGAGGATGCCCTTAAACACGTGCCCTCCGATGCTCACCGCCGTCTGATAGGCGTATTGGTCCTCCTCGTCGTCCATCGCGCTCACTTTCACGCACCGGAACACCGCCGGAGAGTTCAATTCCGACGGGAAGTGAGTCCCCACTTCTAACCCTAATCCACACACAACAACACATCAAACAAATCTAGTTTAATCCTCTTTCTCCTTAAATTCCAATTAAATCATCAAAATGACCTAACTCAATTAATCTAAAAGAGCTCGAAATTTAAAAAAAAAAAGACAAATCAATTAGAGTAAATATGAAAAGAAGAGGGAATTGACATCATTTTCATTCTCCCAAACCCCAAGAAATTTTGCGTCAGTTTCACTGAGAAATAGTGCGAGTTGGGGAATGAAATACGGAGAAGAATGTTACAGTAATAAATTAAAATAAATTTTCCCCATTCCAAACAACACGCAAGAAAATGTGTTCACGTTATATGTTTGTTACGGTAATTAAATACCATTTCTTGTCAAAAGGAATTCTACATTCTTGGCATGAAGTGATTGATTTGATTTTTAGTAATTGAAAATGATAATTAATATAATTCCGAGATGAATTATGTTACCTGAGGAAGCGGTGGGGATACGGGTGCAGACGAGGGAGGAGGGGCTCTCTCTGGGGCGTTTGGAGCTCTCGCCGCCGCCGCCGCCGCGGAGGCTGAGCTGTTGCGTCTGGAGGAGCTGCTGCCTCTCGCGGCGTTTGGCGGCAGGGACCCACGTGCTCTTCAAGTGGGTCTGGCACTCGAACCCTCTGCTCTTGCAGCAAGTTCTGCACCTCAGGTGGGCGCAGTCTTTCTTCGCCTGGTTCCCGCAGTCCTGGCAGTTCACTCCTCCGCCGCCGCCGCCGCCGCCGCTCCCGCCGCTGCTGGTCCCCCCGTTCTGCCTCACCACCCTGTACGAGTACCCTCCGCCGGCACCGCCGGACTGCACGACGTTCTGGTGGTCGTCCCCGACCAAATTCCCGCTGCTGCTACTGCTCCCACCCGGCGCCGCGGCCGCCACCGTCACAGCCGCAGAGCTAGGGTTTTCGCCGGCGTGTCCCACCCCGACGGAGAAGTCGACGAGGTGAGGCTCCCTCTGGTGATGCATATGGTAGTACTGCTGCCATAGCTCGAAACCCTTGCTGTAGATCTCCTCGTTCTTGAAAAGATAGAGGCTACTATTGCCGCCACCGCCGCCTCCCCCACCGCCTCCGCCACCTCCAAGAAGATCTTGGTCTTCCTGATCTTTATTTCCTCCTCCACCACCACCACTACCACCACCTAGACTGAAAAACCCAGACATTATTTTTTCCACTCCTATAAACCTATCTATGATTATCTCCCACCTCAACTTTTTGACAACATATCCTATCCTCAAACCCTCTCTCCCTCCCTCCCTCCCTCCCACGCCTACTCCTATATGATTTGATGTTGTAGTAGTAGAACTAGAAGTAGAAGTAGTAGTAGTAGTGTGAGTGTGAGTGTGTGTATATATACCACGCACCCATGTTATAGGCATCCCATAGAATTTACTCCAAAGTGTACACAAAAGTTATGCAGTAACATTTCGATAGTTCACACTGATACAATATG